GGAAATCAGATTTGAATTTAAAAAAATAATCTTCAACGATAAACACGACAAAGAAATAAACACAACTTCCATAAATTTTGAAAAACACGTTCTTCAGGCGCAACAGAGAGAAAAAAAAAGGTCGTGTGGTGTCGTTATTTTTTTTTTTTCAGTATCATTTGGGTTTGTTTGCTAGGAGATATAATATTCTTATTTGTATACTCGTGAACCATTTATGAAATACTCCCTCCGTTTTAAAATACATGTCGTTTGAGTGTGTATTTCTTTTTACTTATTAATTGTCGTTTTATATATGGTTCAACTAATTAGTTTGATAAAATCCTAAAATTCCGAAGTTTTAGTTCATGCTTGTTATTTTTTTAACGATTATCTTTATCTATAAGTTCTCTAATTTCATTTCCAACATGATAAGGAGAGAGAAAACCTATTAAAAAAATATTTAAATAGAATTTAATAGATTTAAAAAATCTAATAGTATGGTAAGATAACCAATTCCTTAAAAGTAGTAATTTTGTTTTTTTTCACCTAGAACGATAATTATTTTAAAACAGAGGGAGTATAATATTATGTTTTTTGGCGTATTTGTGAACAGTTAGTAGTATATTTTCAGTATCAGTTGGGTTTTATTTGCTAGGAAATATAATATCCTGTTTATATATTCGTGAACCAAGTAGGATATATAATATTCTGTTTTTGGGCGTACATGTGAACAGTTAGTAGTATATTTTCAGTATCAGTTGGGTTTATTTGCTATGAAATATACTATCCTGATTATATATTAGTAAACCTAGGAAATATAATACTGTTGTTGGGCGTATTCGTGAAAAGATAGTAGTATATTCTCGGTATCAATTGAGTTTATTTGCTAGAAAATGAAATATCATGTTTATATATTGATATATTCGTGAATCAAGTAGGAAATATAATATCATGTTGTTGGGCTTATTTGTGAAAAAGGTAGAAGTATATTTGCAGTAACAATTGGGTTTATTTGCAGTAACAGTTGGACATTGAATCCAAGACATGCACATGCCATCGCTTTCAAGTTGATGAGCTGTCATGCCCGCACGCTATACGCTGATTAGGTCACTGCACTGGAAATCGGAGTCAGACGATTTCTTGTTGTCTGTGGAATTGGGTTTTTGGATTTACGGTCCCGCCGAATGGATTTTTTGATTTTTACGGCCATCGTTGCACTGGAAATCGTCTGAATCAGTGGATGAAATGTGCTTTTTCACTCCTGCGTTGCCGGCGTGCTTGCGATTAGGGTTAGGGTTCTTCATGTTTCCCTAAAAAACGAGCTTTTTCTGAATGAGTTTGGGTTTTGGTTTTGAAAAGATCTTCCGAAGCCGAGAACTTGACCTTATATGTGGTGTTTCATCCCCTTCGTTTGCCAGGTTTTTTCGAGGGTCGCGAGTGATTTTTGTTTTCGCCATGAAAGTAAGTTGGGAAGCCGATGAGAGAAGTTTTTCTTTCTGGAGATGGTGAAGGTGGGCGGTGGGAAGCCGAGAAGCTTTTTTATTACACGATATCGAGATATGGTGTATTATATTTGTTCGTAAATTCTGTAACTTCCCTTAATTATCTGATTATTTGGTATAATTTAAACGGTTACACTTTAGGTATATTAGCAATTATGTTAGCTCAATTTGGTAATTGTATAAATATTTATATAATGAGTGTATAATTATAATATATTTAAGATCCTAACGTAAGGCGTGCAATTTCCTCTAAATTTTTTGAACTCGGGAAACTAAGTGAAATACATGGGGTCATTTTCTCATAAAAAACCCATTTATCATACAATGGGCCCTGGAACAACTACTATCAAGGTCTTAATGGGCTGACATTGCACGACAGTTATCTCATAAAAAACCCCATTTCTCAGGCACTGGCCCTGGAAGTAAAAGTGATGCAAAAGAGAGAACTAAACAAGCCGGGCGGAGCCTCCGGAGGTGGCGCCGCCACCCCCTCCGCCAAGAGAGGCCGTCCTTTCGGAAGTGGAGGCAACAGCGCATCAGCCTCCGCTGCCGCTGCCGCTTCAGGTGACTCCGCTGCCCCGTTTACCCTCCTCGGCCCCTCACTCCAGGTCCACTCTGCTTTCGCCGGTAAGCCTTTTCTGGAACCTTTTACTCTCTTTGTGTCTGTGTGTTTGTTTCTTCCTCTTTTCTTTTTTTGTTTGTTATTCGAAATTGCTGTCTACAAATGTGAATTGTTGATTGCGATCCTTGACATCCGTTCTAACTAATGGAACTGAGAATAAGTTTATGAGAGCTCAGATTTTGCTGCAAATTATTTTTTCAGAATTTAATTGCACACGGCAGATTGATTTCGAAGGTATCTGCAATACTTAAGAGTCTGAAATGTAGATTATAGCATTCCGAATGATTGAATTGTACCTTTTTGAGCAATTTGATTTGGCTTTTTATCTTATTCTAAAACCTCACTATCAATTTCAGAGCAGAATAGCAAAAGAATTGTTTTGGCCCTTCAAAGTGGCCTGAAGAGTGAGCTGACGTGGGCTCTGAATGCTCTCACGTTGCTTTCCTTCAAAGAGAAAGATGATGTCCGTAAAGACGCAATTCCTCTTGCTAAGATACCGGGCTTGCTAGACGCACTACTTCAAATTGTATGTCTTCTTTCTATACTCGGATTCAATCAAATTTTAAAAATTTCCCGCGCATGTTTGCTTACTTGGAGATTGATTTTATGAGCAGATAGATGACTGGCGTGATATATCCATTCAAAAAGTCCTAAAAAAGACACAGACGGTTCGTGCAAATTCTAGAGTTACTGGATTTGGGAATGAATATGATACTGATCCTGTTATGTATCCTAGGTGAGTGCACAAATGTATCTTCTTGATGAATACTCAAAGATTTTTAAATTACGATTAGAAACCCACTTAAGTTTGAATTAGAACAACTGTTGAGGTTAGATTCCTTCTTTACGTTTTCTTCCCTTGCAAGAATGGACAGAGTTTGCTGGTGGAATCAACTTTTTGAGAATTACATCCCATTTCAAAATATTCAGTTAGTCCTGAGTTTATCTGCTTAGTCATTTATAATATTCTGAAAACTAAGACCTGTAGATGCGAGATGAAATGTTTTTATGTGCAATTAGAATAAAGTCATGTGATGTAACTGCAAAAATATCTGGAATGTTTGCAACGCCTGTTAGCTCTCACGTGAAAAATGTATAGCAACCTCAAGGGCGGTTCTTGAAATCCAGGGTAGCTAGTTTTTGATGCTTTGTGATTTTTTTCTTTTTAATTAGTTGATATATGACTGAACCTCAGTGTAGTTTCATAAACCTTGCGGAAGGAAAACTCATGTATTAGGCATCACTTGCAGTGCCGTATCTGGTTCCTCAAATAAAGATGTGTCTCCACAGAAAGTTACTCCTAGTCCTAAAGCTCGCCCTTCATGTTGGTGGCTTGAGGAAGATGGCCTCTTTAATCTTGATGAGGGACGGGCAGAAAAGCAACAGTGTGCTGTTGCTGCTTCAAATATTATTCGGAACTTTTCCTTCATGCCTGATAATGAAGTTGCCATGGGCCAAAATCGTCATTGTCTTGAGACTTTGTTCCATTGCTTGGAGGGTTTTGCCACAGGTGAAAAACAAATTGAGTTTGTGTCTATAACTTGTTCTCTTTCTTTCTTGTTATTTTTTTTTCTTTTTCTTCTTGGTCTGCTTTTATTTAGGAAGGGTTCTATTTACCTTTATATGCTTTATGATGTTCCGTTCATAATCTTGATTAATACTGTTAGGAAAATATTGAATTATACAAGATGGGAAAGAAAATAAATAAAAGTTGCGGCGTGGAATAAACCAGTGCCTTGGAAACGATTTCGGCTAATCACGTCTTTTCCTTAATCTTTCATATCAAATTTGAATTTAGAAGGAAAGGAATTCCTAGTTTTCACTATTACGTCGACATAAGTGCCAAAGACTAGCGTATCATCAGCGGACAAATAATCACAGTTTTGGTTTTAGGTTGAAGACATTTATAATACATGCAAGAATCATAAGCATTTATTTTAAAACCATCAGCACCTGAAGTTTCAAGTTTTCATACCATTGAATAGGTGTCACACAAAGATTTCCCGCAATTTATACGCTTTATCCTCTTCTCCAGTACAACCTTCAGGTTTCTCAATATATTTATATGAAGAACGTCGATCATTTTGCATAAACGAACACTCCGAATTTAATCCTAGTGTAGCGGATCTACAGTTAGTTAGGATTAAGAACTTACTGGTTAAACATCGCGGACTCCGTGCAAATTTACATGGCCTTTCGGGCCAGACGACGAACGGTTCTGACTTTTTGTCCTTGTCCGCCCGCCGTAGGTCACATCGGTCTACGTCAGCCGTGTGTGACTGAGGCTGCCTCGTGCGTCGCGCGTTCGCCTCGTGCTGCGTGTACGTCTTGGTGGGCGACTCATTAGATCTCCCAAACCTCTCATTGATTAATCCTGCAAAAGCATAAAGAAGACCGAATTGTCTTCGACGTTCTTGCCTAGGTCTCACGATTTTCTTCTCTCTCTAACTCACGGTTTTTGGACGATTTATTGAGATGAGAAAACTGATTTCTTGTGAAATACACGTGAATAATCTTATGTGAGGCCTTAGAACTCAATATATATATAGGTCATAACAGACATCCTAGAGAGGTGCTAAATAAGGACTTTCCAAGTGTGAACACCACTGTTACTCCATTCATACTTGAATAATATCCATTCGTTTTTTTGCACCACTAGGCTCTTTTCCTTTTGTACTTTGAATTATGCCGTTTTTCCGTCGATTACGGGACATTTCTTGAGTTGATGAATTTCTTTTGTACACTATCCAATATCGAAAGAAATAATTTGATTTCTCTATCATTATCAACAAATTCAATTTTTACCAAGACATCTGCCCTTATTTAAATTTATTGAACTTCCAATGTAGCCCCCAAATTACAACGAATTTGTTTCCTGATTTATTTGCTCGATTTACCACCCCGTGTTTTAGATCTAACGTCTACTGATTAATTAATTACTGACAATATAAGTAATCAACTTCTTGATATGAAATTAGTACAATTCAATTCTTTAATATTATGTCAGATTTCAATCCACCGGTCAGGCTTGATTTAGTAATACATCTTGAGATAATTTCAGTGATGTCATCAACCTAGCGCACCGGGACACAGTGACCGTAAATCATTTTAACGACAAACCATGTAATCGAATTATTTACCAGAATACCGAGGTTGTTGATTCATGATAAAATTTCACTCATGGTAAATTAAATAAATAATAAACGAATACATGTCTTTTTATTATCTTGTGGGTTAAGAGAACGCTACAAATATTGAATTCTAGATTATTTATTTATCATCTTGTGTGGCCCGTTCAATACGTACTATTCTAAATAATTAGTCAAAGATCAACTAATTTGAAAGTCACATTACACTCGTTCACTATAGTTAGTTCATTTTGTCTAGGTTGTGGACCAACAATTTATATTTTACAAGGCACCGATAATATGATATCTGTTGGACTGATCGAACCATATTATCTACAATGTAAAATAAAAAAGTCATGTTTGCATAAATACATAAACTGCAAACATACACTTGACTAAAACATGAATCTAATTCGAACTGGAAATTATGGTAACACAAAATTGAGTTTCTAGTATACCCTAGAAATCTCCCATTTGTATTTTAAAGCTTTCAGTTGTACTAAGTATACATTCTTTTAATCTTTATTCTCAAAGAACTGTTCTTCTAAATGTAATACATCCGACTCTCAATACCTTAACATTGTTATAATTTGCTTACACTAGAAAACCACTTCTAGAAAGATCTACTTGGTCGTCCACTAATGTAACTAGACGACAAAACATCCACCATTTACATTGTTATAATTTGCTTACACTAGAAAACCACTTCTAGAAAGATCTACTTGGTCGTCCACTAATGTAACTAGACGACAAAACATCCACCATTTTGCGATGATTCACACCGAGTCGTACTTGCACTAGTGCTTACATGCCTTATGAACTTGTGATTCCTTCACATTTGCAACTGCATCAACCGACAATCAAATTGTGACTTGGCTTGGGCAAACTAGGATTTCGCATTCTCAATTCAATAGAGGATCCCAGAGTCAAAACCTCTTCCATCGTTTGCTCTTTCTCCCTAGTAAGCCACGGATTTTACTTATTGTTTTTGTTTGATTAAAACTTAAAATCTTTTGTAACGCATAGGCTGTATATGGTTCATCTGGTAATCCAACATATTATCCTTAGTCCTTTTACGATATACTTGACTATATGCTTTACCGCAAACCAACACTCTCGTTTAGGATTACTTTGATATCCGCTAACTATGTTCGTGGCAATAATAAATATTATCCCTAATTTACCGCATTGCATTCACAAGGCTAAGACAGAGGAACTCCATCAGGTTCACAAACCTTCTTGGAGTTATTCATGGTAAGAATGAGCCTTATGACAATATTAAGACATGAAGATCGGGATAACTGCATCATTTATTTCTTGTGATCCTCGACCTCATGAACATGTGCCGATTATCCTGAGCCATTTATGTCTAACTGCTTGGATAACAATACCCTTGCATTTGACAGCATTTTCACACTGTCTCTAGTGGTTGGAACATCATCTACGCACAACACAAAATAATACCACCACGTTTCTATTGCGATACACACAGTGCTCACATTTGGTGCCCGATGAAATCCATATCCATAAAATGGACTATTTCATTTACCAAATGTACCAGATAACTAAACTTACTTCAGTCTAATAGATCATTTTAGTTTACAGACTGGATGCTCTGAGTCGTTCCAATGAGCACTTTTGGGTGTTGTTCCATGGATATTCCCACAAGACACCCGCTTAAAGAAACCATGACATCCACCTCGTCTAATCTCATAGCTTATATGAGCGGCCACAACTTTAAATTCGTACGGCTACCGTAAAAAATGTTAACTCTTAATCGATCCCCTTCTTTCTAAGTTAACTATTTCTCAACAAGCCTCGCTTTGAAGTCTTGGCGATTTTACTTATAGATCCACTTCGCCTAATGATCTTTAGGCCACGGTGGTTTTACAAGATCTTAGACTTGATTAGACTCAAAGATCCTGAATTACCAATCATTCGCTAAGGTTCTGCATCCTTGTATCAGAATGTCTCATTGTATAACTAGGCATTTTTTAAGTTCACTAAAGACTAAATCCAAAGACTTTTTGAAGAACATGAACTCATAGTTTCATGTTCACCACAGATTGCCCAAAGACTCAATAAAACGAATCTATGAGGTCGCCTTGCAACCCTCCAACTACGACAAGGTTCCTCCGGTAAAGTTGTACTACTCATGATATGTGTTACAGTTTTATTGTGGTATAACATTTTGTACACGCGGTACTGAAGTTGAACTTTTACCTTTATCTTTCCTTATGACTATTCTACCAATGGGTTTGTGGTTTATCACTTAGTATTTCTCTAACAGCCAGACATTTGTGTTAACGAACACCCTCTGATTTTTAGTACTATAAAATAAAGCACTTTGTCTTCTGATGTAGGGGAAGCGTCCGAAAGAGGGAACATAGATAATTTTCAACAGATAAAAACTCTTCTTATTCTTCACTCATCGACACATTCAGTTTCACAGCATAAATATAGACTCCTAAGACCTCCTAACTCTTAACTTGATGAACAAGTCTAATACTAAGAGATAGATATCCTAACAATAAAAGAGATAAATAATAGAAATAAATATTATGTAAATAAATAATTTATTTTGGTGGAGGGATGTGATCATATTTCTTCAAAAAGAGCTCGTCTTCATCATCTTCTTACTATGGAGTATCCACAAACAACAAAATTTCAATTAACTTTTTCATTTTCATTAGAATAAACTTTCTAGCAAGTATGTCGAAACACCCCAAATTTTGAATATGTTCCTGCTTGGGCCTACGTCCTGTTTGCAATTCATTGGGAGTAAAAACTATCGACTTGCATAGAACAATGTTCAGAGCTTATGTCGTTATTTGCACAACTCCTAAACAAAAACTTGAAGAATTTTTAGTAACTCATCATTGACAAAACGAATCTACCTAAGAGACATTTTTCATTGTTATATTACACTGTGCTATTGGGGTAAATTCAGTTTAACCCGCTGGAACTGAATCCTACTATCCGGTCACTAACTCCCATGTTTTTTCAAAAGGTATTAGTCACTTAATGTACCCCGTCTCGAATAAATTTCTTGAAAAAGATAAAATATCTGAAACTACACTTTGTTCAAATAATCATAGGACTGCATAAATCGGATGTATCATTCCTAACATTCATTTGACTTCTATACCCCACAACCTTTAAAAAGATATTTTGGTTATTTTAGAGCAAAATTTCAAAAAAGATACACCAAATTGGTTGTTGCCAAGATACGAAACATTATGTTGTCCTTAATGGATTAAGGTACATTTAGTTATCAATTTAGTCCAATGAGATGCTTTAATCACACCATCCAAATGAAATGTTGACGTGGACAAATGAGATAATGACGTGTCATTTAACATTTCCCTACGTGGCCTGACGTGGCATCCTCATTATCAAGTACCCACCTAGATAAAAATTTTTTTAAAAAAAATTATAAAATGTCAATTATGGAAAAATGATCCCCAGTGAGGAGCATTGTTTTGAGGGAGTTCGAGGGGAGGTTGAAAAAAGCTGTTACAGAAGAAGAGTCCTTACGCCGACATTAGCAGTAGCGCTAGTAAGGCCGACAAATACAAAGAGTGAGGTGTCATCCTCATTAGTTATGCTTAGTTATAATAAAAAATAAAATGTCAATTTTATAAATAAAGTCTCACCACCCTGCCTCTCCCTCGCCCAGGCAGCCGCCCTCAGCCACGTTCTCGCCGTGGACTACGGCGTTCCGACGCCATCTGATTCCCCCACACCACCCGCACCTCCAATTTCGTGTGCCTCACCGATGCGTTCAACGAGGGTCTCTTTCCCGTCTCTTCCCACTCCCATTGGAAGGGTAGCTGCTTTGATGCCCCTGATTTTGGCAAAAATACTCCCGCTGAAGCATTTTCGGGCTGTCGGCTGACAGAAAGTCACCGGTTCCGAAGATGGTGGACATCGTCGGGTGCGCGGAGGCGCGAGGAGTCCGGAGGTGTCCTTAGATTTCGCTGGGTCGCCGTGACTCACCAGGGATGAAGGCTAAATTTTGATGGGAATTTTCTAAATCTAAAAACTACGACCAGAATAATTGACCGCCGGTAGAATTTTGGCCGGATATTTTAGGAGATGAACGAGGACAAGAAGAGCCTTAAGATAATGCAAAAAATTTTCTGATAAGATGTGGTTGGTTGGCAGCCGGCGACCGGTGGACGTCGACAGTGGGTGGTGGAGGTGGTGGTTGACCTTGGAATTACTTAGAAAGATTTAAATATATTTATATATTTTGTATTATATTTTTCGAACATAGTGTATATATATTACTAAAATAAATTAAATATGTTTTTGGAATATAAATATATTTTTTGTGTTTTATATTTATATTTCATAAATTTATGTATGTATATATATATAATCTTATATTAGATATAATATACTAGATTGTATTATGTATTATTATTATTATTAACTAATCAAATATTCGATACTAATCGAATATGTGCAAGTGACCTGAAAAAAACATAGATAACATGGGGTGTGAGCACTAAAGTCCACTGTGCTCTGTAGGAACTCATACTAAAGTAAACAGTGAAAATAATTGCAATATCATGATCCTGGCATATACATAACCTGAACTGAAACCGGTATTGAATAATCATAACCCGATAATCATCACATGACTGATACCTCATTTGCCAGCATAAAAATGCCGGACACCATGTGCACACTCTAGTGGGCAGATTAAGGCCACTAGAACCCAGAATGGACCGGCGACCATTCTAAGCGGATTCTGACATGATAATACATACCCCAAACATGGTAGGGTAATTATAATCAATGTAATATCCAGTCTGAGTCCCCACCTGATCCGTCGATATGAAAAGGTAGTGCTGATAATCGTAACCTGATCAAATTGAAACATAATATAAACAATTACTAAATGCTATGCTCAGACTGATAAAAATAGCTGTTTAATATGTTAAGATGCTCAATTGGAACTTGACATGACATCTAGACTTAACCGGTATAACCGGAACTGATTTAACATGGAACTGGTCGGACATGAATTTACTGAACTGAACTGGACCCGGAATTTAACTGAAATTTGACATAGCAGTATTGTTACTATCTCCCGTAGTGGAGTTTAAAATGGTTTTGCCACGCTACGTTTTTCCGCTGACATTTCATGTTTGTCAAACTTAGCTCTTTTGGATCCGATTACCAGTCGGATTGTTTATATCATGATAAACCTTTTTTCTTAAAAACTACATTAACGGTTTTCCAGGCAACGTCATTGTTACGGTAGCACTCTGAAACACGATTTCGCAAACTAATCAGTAATTTTTATTAAAAGGTTTTGCGAAAATTAAACTCTGATATTTATGACATAGCGGGGTGTTACAGATGGTATCAGAGCACGTTTGTGATAGAGAAGACCAATCAACAACAACAGACAACCAATGCCGTGGTGACAACTGGAGCTTTCCATTCAAGGATATATTCAGATTTGGATTTGAATAAATTTCGAATACTAACACTATTTTTATTCGAATTTGAATTCGAATTTTATGAATACTAATCACGAATCGAATCGAAAAATGTTGATTTGTTTATAACCCTAGTGTTGAAACTCGATTTAGGTTTCTCAATCAAAAAATTTAGAAAATTGTCACATTATAGGGCCAAGTTTAAAGTGGTTCAACGACGCCTAACTGTTACTCTGCATCGCGCGGGCATCTGCGAAAACTCCCACACCCGCCACGCCTGTTTTTCGCTTCTTACTCTCTACTGTCTCCTTCACCAAAGCCTCCTCATCACCACCCAGCATTAGAACTTCCTTCCTATTCCTCTTTCCCCTGTGATTGCCTCTTTTGGAACTGCAACACCTTCATTTCTAACTAACCTTCCTCCCTTGAGTTTTCCCATCCTCCTGACCTTTGTTTCTTTCCCTTTACATTAGTATTTACCTCTTTAGGGTCCTCCATATTTAACTCTTTAGCTGGTTCCCCCACTAATTGTAGTTCCATCCCTTCAGCTATTGAAGTAAGAAAAAAGTTCGCCATATCTAACTTTTCAACTGAACTAGAACAAGAGAGCAACAAACCTTCTGGGTTAGTTTTTGAAGCAGTCTCTTTCACCTCCTTAGCAGCAATAGTACCTCCCAAGCAGATTTGGTTACTCCTGACCAGCTGTTGATGATCTTCTGGCCTAGAACTCTCAGCTGAAGAAGCCTTAGAAAGAAACTCCTCCTTCTTGACTAGAATGATTACTTGGCTGGGATCAATAAGACCCTGACGGCCTGACTGACTTCAGACTTCCACCAAATGCTGTCCTTCACCAGCTCTCATCCACTATCCAAACTGCCCCTCCACTATGACTTCTTTGGCTATGTCATCCATTCTTTTAGGACATCCCTTATCTATATGCCCAACCATTCCACAGTAAAAGCACAAACTCACTAGCTTTGCATACTTGAAGGTAACACGAACCTGCTGATCCCCCAATCTTATTCTTGTGCATCTAGGCAGAGATTCACCCACCTGTATAGAAACTAGGAGTCTGATTATTTTTCCTCCATGACTCCCTGCACTAACCACCACCACCACATTACTTACTTTACTAAAGACTCTTCCTATCTTGACCCCCACTTCTGCACACAACCAGTTCAGAGGTATACTTTGGACTTGAACCCACATATTAATCGCCTCAAAACCTTTGATATTGCTGCTCATTCCTTGTTATTCCTGAAGAACTAGAAACTGGTTGTCAAAACTCCAATTTGCACCTTCTTAAATCTTCTCTATTCTGGCAAATGAACTGAAAAAAATTGAAACCCAGTTCTTTGACCTCTAGAGGCTGCTGAATCCTCCAAATCTGCCTCATGCCTCTATTAATGCCGATCCAGTTCGCTTTCTCCTATTATCTTGCCAAACAGGCTTCTCTTACACTCCTCGCTTGTTTTCACGTCATCCACCCCCAAATCTATTGTGGCATTTTCTTTTTGTGATAACTAGAAGTTCTGCAACCGATTCACCGTTGCCTCCTCCATTCTCCACCTGAGCAACTGCTTTCCACCAGAACCCTAAAAACCACCTCCACTCCTGCTCCTTTAGAGACAACCCCGAACCCAAACTTCCCCTTAACTGCTATCGAAGAATGTGAACACCCAACACGCAACGGGAGAAACAATCCCCTGAGAATTTTGTAAAATCACCCCTGAAACTCTGAATCGCTCTCAATCGAGAAAATTTCCCGCTCTCAATCGAGAGGATTTTTAAAATGAGTAATAAAAAAAATTAGGAATTGACTTAACCAAAAGTATTATCTAAGGCCCAACAACAAATGGCTCAAGATATCATAGTCATTTGACTCAGTTCCAACATATATACTACGAGCACTGAAAGATTGGTCTAATTACAACAGCCAGCAGGTCTTTGAATTTCAGAGAAGTAAAACAACCCTTTGATATTCGTTTCTATTTTACAAATTCTACCCCTAAATATGTGTTTTAAAATAATGATTTTTTTTTAGGGTGGCGGTCCATACCTTGGGTAGATTTTCAACTTTCCAGTAACCCTTCAAATATTTCGGCTGATCATGTGATGAAGAACTATTGTGATGGATGAAAATATGATGAGCTCATTACCCTACTCAGCATCCCATTTTTTCCTGCTATAATGCAAATGATTTGAATTGTTCTTAAAATTGAATGAATATGGACAGAGGACGAAGAACTTGTCACGAATGCACTTGAGACGATCATGAACCTGGGCCCGTTGCTAGAACTTCGGATATTCAGCTCGTCAAAGACTTCATTTGTGAAAATGACGTAAGATTTTATCAGGCCACCTTATTTCCACCATATCTCTGCAAATTCATGACCCAACCAACAAATTTTGTTTCCGATTCTTTTTGTTTCAGAGAAAAACGAGCAGTTGAGACCCTCATGAAAATATTGGGATCCCCTGTCAAAGCATGGCATTGTGCAGCTGCAGAATTATTTGGCCGTATGGTACTCAACCCCGATAACGAGCAGTTTCTCTCGCCATTTTTACCTCAGGTCTATTTTTGCCATACATTTGTTTGTCATGTTTAAATGGTGCCCTTGACACAAACTTTGTGGCTTTGCGACAAATGATTCATAAAACCTGCAGATATATAAGCGATTGGTTGAGATGTTGAGCTTCCCAGTTGGTGATACTCAATCAGCTGCCATTGGTGCGCTGTACAACCATGCAGAAACTAGTATGGACTGCCGTCTGAAACTTGCCAACGAGAGATGGTTAGATGAATTATTAATTGGGCCGATTAATATTTACCCTGAGATTTGACTAATTGCTAAACGAAAAGGAGGTAACTTTAAGAAAATGCGAGTATCCACTTCATATCTGTTTTTGTATATAACAAGTATTCGATTAACTGGAATTTGTTGGAGGATTCAAAATATTGCCATTGAAAATTGTGCATATAATGAATCTTCAACATGTCCCAAAAAGTGAAGCATTTCAATATGCCGTTCAGTTGTATTCATGTAAAAGTACAAATATATTAAAAAAAAAAAAAAAAAAAAAANAAAAAAAAAAAAAAAAAAAAAAAAAAAAAAAAAAAAAAAACCATATCAAAAGCAAAAATATTCATGTAAAAGTGAAGCAAAATTGTTATATTTACTGCACATGCAAAACAATATCAGAAGTTGTGGAAGAATCGAAGGATGAACATTGGATTCTAGCACAAACATGTATTCAGGTTTAGAATCCTGTGCACAATTTACAATCATGGCACAAATGTCCTCTAGTAAGTGTACATGCATTTGTGTGTGTAGTTAAACCAACCATATGGGAGTAATTTATGTTGTTATCCCCAATAAAAAATTTTAGGCTCCAAGCACATCATTCCTACTTGAGTAAAATTTGTATTTAATGTGGTACTTGCAATTTTTTTTTTTCTTTTTTTTTTTTTTTCTCAGGGCCGTAGATCGGCTGCTGAAGGTGATCAAGACACCTCACCCGGTGCCGGAAATCTGCCGCAAAACAACTATAATACTTGAGAATCTTGTTTCTGAGCCACAGAACAAGCCTCTGCTGATTGCCTATGAAAATGTATTCGCGGATTTGCTTTTCTCTGAGACGAGGTACACTGATGCATTTGCCCGGATACTGTACGAGTTGACTTCTCGACCAAACAGCAAAATTGCACCAGCTCATGGTATTTGGGGTATGTGAATTATGGAGGAGCAAACATATCTGGTTAGATTTTACCCTTTTGACCTATTTTAGACTCTGCTGCCTGTAATAATATTTATCGGTTTTTGCATCTCCAATCTTGCATTAAACGGAACTTTGTATTCATAATTCGTCTGGCTCACAGTACAAAATCACGAGACTTGTAGATAAAGCAGATCACTCCTATGAAGTAACAATATAGTAATGAGAGCCTCATCTTTTCTGAGCTTTGAATGCGTGAAATATGTTAATCTGCTCCTGCTTAATTCAAGTAGATAGCAAGTGGAAATACTACATTTACGAGCAATTCAGTTCAATAACCTGCAAGGTATCTGCTGATTACAAGAGACCTCCATATACTGTGTCTTTTCACCACATGCAATATAAATGCTCGATATCACATCCCGGTACAATCATATGAAAACTTGTCAGCTTTGATAGGAACATGTAGTTACTTCATAATGCATTTTACTTTGGATTTTGTTTGCAATTGCCAAAATGTCTATAGGATTGCGTTCTAAAAAGTTGTTCCGTGACTGCCCCAAAAACTCGAAAAGCCATTTTCGCATTAGTTTCTCGTCTTTCTTCTGTCTAAGAAAAATATTTCTCAATTAATGGCATATTGAAGGAGAGGTCCTTTTAAATTTGAATTCAAAACTGGGTAGCTGAGCTCTCAAGAATTTAAAGCTCAAGCTGTCACTTTAAACATACGCTACAGCCCAAGCCCGGACCAATCCAGCTATATGCCATTTTCAAACCAAACAGCAACTGCCAATTTTTCCAGCTACTAATATATTACTCGTTCGAGTTTTTTTTAGTAAGGGCCCATTGACATTATTTGGGCATGTGCAGTTTTTAAACATTTCAAGCCATGGATTGGCTAAAAAAGAAAAAGAAAAGGAAACCAGCTCTTTTTAATAGAAATTCTATGGAACCATCGGATCGGATGGCTCCCTTATGGAGTCATTCATAACTTTATGGACTGATATGTGTCCAATGTGTATTTAATGTAGGACATGTGTTCCGTTTGTGAATAACTTTGAATTGCTCCATAAGCCGAGTCATCGGAAGATTCCATAGCAAAACCTTTTTAAATGTCATTTTAGCTTTATCAACCATTAACCAAATAAATGACGTTTTGGATCTTTTGTACATATGTTTATATTATTACTCTCATTTAGCTAATAAATACACTATCTCACTCTTCAATATCTAATTATCTACTCTTCATATTTTTCTAAAACATCTATCTCACTCTTCATTATAGAGGGTTATTATTGGCAAAAAAAAAAAAGTTTCTTAATTACTATACAACTTCTCGAGAAACGACACATATTATGAACATAAGGGTAGGGCAATTTGTTTAGTTTAGGTGAGAAAAATTGTTCCTACTTCATGAGACCTTTTGTCATAAATTTGCACATATAATGTGCACGGTGCAAAACTTATGGCCAAAAAAACCCCCATTGAGCTCTACCTATGGCCTTGGGTAGGGTCGAATTTATCATTTAATTGAGTTATTCAACTACATACGAGCGAGTCATAGTCATCTGCCCTAAGAACTGTCAATGATTTTTTATTTTTAGTTATTTATCTTAAATAATAGGAAGTGTCAATGATGTGTGTAGGCATTTGTGAGTGTGTGTTGTATCTTTAAATGCTCTCAACTTGCCCTCCTTTGGTGCATTAATGGAGGTTTGAATTATGGAGTGAGTATGGACTGTCAACTGGACCAAACCTTGTGCCGTCCATTCTAAGAACTCACGGGAATCTTTTATGTACAAAGTAAACCTTAGTCAAAGCTAGATGTGGCCATTTCCCGGGCCGCTGCCCGGCCCGGAGAGTCGACGGGCCTCGGATTGATGGCCCTTAACCGGCCCGGGAATTTATATGGGCCGGTCCATTGAACCCGCCCTGAACTGCCGCGTCACCGACCCGCCAGTTTTCGGCTAGCTTGGCCCGTGGCTCGTCTTTCAACATGCCTTGGTCCGGCCCTGAACGCTGGGACCCACAAAAAAAGAATCGAAACCGGTCCGCATGGCCAAGGTTCCAGTTCAACAAACCGGCGAAATCCGGGCTGGACCGTGACCTGTTCAGGACCGGGCCGAGTATACCTGTTCAGGGCCGGGCTGAGTAGGCCCGTGGCCATGTCTCAAAGCTTAGATCTCGGGTTTTAGTCTATAAAATATTTTCTCAAGAAAAGAAAAAATCTTTTATGAATTATCTTTTTTCTTTGCTTTATATGGAACGGTGGTTTGTACTGAGACGATCTTTAGAGCACCCACAATGCTTTGGGTTTCTTAGAAAAAAGTTACATGCCATGTAAGAAATAGACCTAGTCTATAAAAAAGTGTTCTCCAATGCAATTAAAAGTGGACCTAGTCTAGCTTATGTGGCAATAAAAAAATGAGACCTAGTCCACACTTGGGTCTATTTTAGACCCAAGTACAAACCCAAGCACTCATCATTTATTCCTCATTTAATTTTTCTTTTAATAAATGAAATATACTAGAGCATTTTTATTGGTTGTCATGTATTCTAGACCTAGTACTTTTTTGATTTGCATTGAATAGATTTTGGTTTTTTTAGTTTAGGTTTGTCCATGTCATTATAGACTTAAGTCTATTTATTTGCCACATATGCAAAAAGAGACCCAAAGCATTGTGGATGCTCTTATAATTGCTGAAGTCAGTAATCTTTAAAATTAATGACACGTCATTAAATTAAATAATTTAATAATTACATAATGGACTTATGTATAAAACTAGTATTCGACCTGTACATTTGCACATATATATAAATAAAGTATTGTGAGTTATTTGTATTCATATAATGATTAATGATTTTTGTCAAATTTACAATTAAATGAGCTGAAATATTTATTTTTTTAAATTATGTTATCATATTGGATGTAATGTATTTTTTGATATGTATCTTTTTTTATGAAATTATTTATTATTTATTTAGGAATTTCAAATACGTTTTTTATTTTCTAAAAGAAGTTAATTTAAATGTAACCACAATAATAACATCTAATCACATTAAATAGTCAATACATATTATAAGATCAGTTGTAAGTAAATAAAAAATTTAAAATGATATTTGTAATTTTGAAGTGATTACTGTGTTGATTATTTAATAATTAAATGAGAGGTTAAATATATAAAAAGTAACGGTTTTTGGAGGGAAAAAATTATATTGCCACATATGTATAATTTAATAGGTTTTATTAAATGCTCATTAGCCAACAATTATATATATATAGATATTATTTTCTACATAAAATTATAAACTCATCATCATCTTCCCCATCTCTAGTCGGTCACCTGCTGCTGCCCAACGCTTACGTTCCCCCACTGGATTTTTACAAAATTGCACATTAATGAACCTTGCTAATTCATTTCCTCATATCAAGTCAATTGAATTTTCATAGAAAATATATGCTTATAAAGATATTTTTTTGTATATAATTTAATTTATAGGACAAACAAGCACATAAAAAATACAAATGCATTTTTTGTATTTGTACTTTATACTTACAAAGATGAATAAAATGAATGATTAAAATTAAATTTGACTAAAATCTAAAAATTTACAAGGTGACTGATATTACTAGATAAGTAAAGGCAGGTAAAATTACCCTTAATTGCAATTGCCATGGATATATAAATTGTAATGTTTTCCAATCTTAATATAAAATTACAGTCTCGTTACGAAATCATTCCGTCGGAATTTGTAACCGTTACATCATACTGTAATCGTCGTGGATAGTTGATCTAACGGCTACAAACCCCGACGGAATGGTTCTGTAACGTAACCGTAGAATCTCCCATAAAATTATGCATAAATTAAAAGGAAATGCTATGGTCCTGTTACGGTACCATCCCGTCGGGTGTTTTAACTGTTGGATCATCTATTTTGTACTAACTACATGTGTATCCAACGATTAAAACTCCCGACGGGATGATACCGTAATGGAATCGTGGCATTTTCCAAAATTAAAAAAGCATAGTTATCTAAATGTGGAGTTGCCTAACAAAACATTACCTCAATAGTTTCTTTAGCACTCCTTGCCAATTTTCCTAATTAGGTTGGTGAACTACATTAGACGGAGCAGCCTTACCAATTTACAAGACAAGGTTCGGCAGTCCACCTAAAATTGAGAGCATGCAATTGAGAAATCCGAGATAAGGCAAAACTTCAATTTTGGTCCATTTATTCTATTTTTTTGGCATATTAACTTTTCCTTCATCAATAATATCAATAATAGTACGTTATGTTGCAATTTGTATTACTATTGGAACCTTATCGTGAAAATGGTTTATTATTTTCTGGAATTAATTTCTTAAAAATGATAGAAAATGCAACATAACGTAATGTATTTTGACAAGTAATACCAAAAATGGGAGTACAAATTACAACACAACGTACTATTATTGATGATAAAATGAAATTTAGTGTATAAAAAAAACTTTAAACAAGTAAACGGACTAATTTTTCCTCCGAAATAACATCACTATCTACCATCTTTGAAGATAGACGCATTCCATATTCCTTCCATAAAATTCTTCAAACTCGAACATTTATCAAAGAATTTGATGATATGATATTCATATCACTAAGAAAAAATCATACAAGCAACGGTTGTGTTTCCTAATTAACACTCAACCAAACCCTTCACATGCATTGTTC